TAAAACACCATGTAAAGTGTAAACCATGGTTATACTCTCCCACCCCTATGTACCCCCTGAGAAGTGCATATGTACCCCAGGTTGTGAATGCCTGCTCTAGTCTATCACTTTAAAATAAGGGCGAGACTTTGCATTTTGTGGATGTGAAATGTTATATTAGATTTGATTTAATGAGATATGACCACGATGGAAAAAATGGCCATCTATGAACGTACTCTTTTATGTGTTTCCATCCTTAAATGTGTGTGTGTGTGTATGTATGATTTGCTCATGTATTTCACAATGTATACATCTTATATGGAATGAATGTATTTCAATCTAATCAGGATATATAAAAATATATAAGAAATAGCAAACCAATGTTTATTAAAACATGTTTATACAAATAATTGATATGCTATACTATTGTGAAGTATGCAATTAATAGTAACTTCCGATCACAGCAAGCTGTCTACTTAGATTAAAAACAAAAATCAACCTGGTAATAACTAATAAACTGTGCATAAGGCTTGTAAGTTACATATAATCCAATTACTCATTCAGAATAGTTAGGGAATACCCAAAAGCTGAACCAAACAATTATAAATAATACTAAAGAAGCAGAGGAAATTTGTCAAGGATATTTTTTTGTTTCTTTGGAATGTATTTTATCGTGTTTCCTTTAATCGGTTGTTTTCAACTTTTAAATTCATCCAATTCAGGCAATTATAAAATTAAAACAAATATTTTCAAGAAACGACAGTATAATTTGGTATAGAAAATCAATAAATTTAATATTGGATTTTATTTCAGCGTTCCTCGTCTACACCACTTCATATTGAATAGTTCCATACGTGAGTACAGTGGCTGCAAGCATGAAACTAAAAAATAAACATTTTGGAGTTAATTACCTTGCTAAAGAATAATCACAATGAACGAATTGGTCGTGTTTTAGGTGTTTATTGAGATTATAATCACAGAAATATTGAACTAAATAATATATAAATTAAAAGAGAACCACTGAATGGATATAATATATTGGAATTTAACTTAAACTGAATTACTTCTTGTTATATTAGTTTTAATTTTTAAAACTACTCGATTAAACTTTGAAAATAATTTAAATTTCTCGTAAATTGTTTTGCGATGTTAATAGTCATTTATATTCCAGCTTGTTTTATTATATCTTAATTCCTAGAAGTGGGACTGTGCTTTATTAAATGTTTTTAACATTTTTTATCATTCTATATAGTGAATGTTTTAAACATATTACACAAAAGAGCATAGCGTTCAAAAGCTACATTTCATTATGCCTGACAACGAAAAAAATTAAATCAATTTTTTATTTCGTTTTTCAATATAATATCACTTTATGCATAAAACAAAAAAAATGTAAAATGAAATCCCTTTAATTTATAGTCGATCCATCTTTATTTTACTTAATTGCTCACTATTTTTTTTACAATTCTTGTGTTTTTAGAATTGCATCTTTTTTGGCACACAAAAAATCATACTAGTAAAATAAATAAAAACGTGTGTTAAGTTTCTGCGCCCGGCTTGTTAGACCGTGACGAATCTAGGCTTAAGTTAAGTTGTAAGGGATTGTTTGAAGTATAAGGTTCATGAGAATGTGTGGTGCGCCCTCTCAAGGTGTTGACAGATTATATGTAATAATATTTTATTTATTTTACTTAATTGCTCACTGTTGTTTTTGTTTTTTTTATAAGTCTTTTTAGAATTTTATCTTTTTTGACAATAAAATCATACTAGTAAAAATAAAATAAAAACGTGTGTTAAGTTTCTGCGCCCTGCTTGAATTATTTTGTAAAATATTTTCCAAGATATACCAGATAAAGTGAACAAAATGTCTCGGTTTTTCGTACATAATGTTAGACTTACCTAATCTTGATCAGAGTATTTTGTTCTGAATGAAATTAAACTTGAACAGGATAGAATTTTCATTCAAACAATAATAATATACGCTATTTAGAAGTTTACAGTCAAAAAGATAATTTGGAAGAGCAGTGATGAACACCAAGCGTCTCATGTTGATTTATATCCATGTGACCTTCGTACAACTTGTACAAATAAAAAGTTCTACTTTACAGTACTTGCACAAGACGCATGGCGGCAAATTCTACATTGCCAATGTTCTGAAAGGGTTTAATCATAGTGATTGAGTAAGTTGAAACATCAGGCATATTTCTTACAACTTTAACAACTCAGAATGCTAGAATCTCTTGCCATTAAGATGAAAAAAAAAAAAACAGCTCTCATTCAGAAGATGAGTGCACTGCTACAACATTTTCAGTTATGAACATGTAAAGAAAGAACAGTGTGAACTTCGATCGCTGAATATGAGGTGGACTAAAAGCCATAGTTTCTCCCTTGCAACATTATAATACCAGACCCAGTACTGCTGTTCGTGCGTTTAACGACTAAAATTGAAATGTTCAGATACACATTCTTTCCCCACCTTAATTATATTCCAGACCTTCCACCCTGTCACTTCCAGCACGGTCAGCGTGGACATTTATAGACGACCCATGTTCTTAAAGTTAAAGCAGCTGATGTGACTCTTATTAACACCACTCGTGCATTTTACCGGATTGATACGATACTGCTCTTTGAATAGTGTAGTAAATCAGAAGTTAACGCCCTTATAGACAGACATGCTCAATACCATTAGTGTATTTTTTCTTGGTTGTAATTTCATAAAGTTGACCCATAAGAAATAAAATCCCATTTGTTTCTGAACACTCCTCGTAATTGGCCTGTAGTCTTATTAATCTCTTCATAAAGAAAGTCGGAATAGTAAATAGTAATATCTTTGTAGTCCCCCATCGGGACAGCGGTAAGTCTACGGACTTACAGTGCTAAAATCTGGGGTTCGATTCCACGTGGTGAACACAGCAGATAGCCCAATGTGACTTTGCTAAAAAATGCTATTTGTGTATAAGAGCGTTAAGAATCCAACGTGATTTCGTTTTATAGCTGTCCTTTAAATCCTTTTATTATTGTGTTCATATAATTTTAATAAGGCGCTATTATACCACGATACTTATCAAACGACACGGAATACGTTGAAATTGTACTTAAATTAAATATCAAGCGATTTCGAATGGTATCAAACTGAAGTCGATAATTAGAAAGTACCCTTAAATTCATACACATTCACGTGCTAAGTTTTAAGTTCCCAATGCTTTGTTTGTTTGTTTGTAATTAAGCACAAAGCTACACAATT